TATTAGTTATAGTATTAGACTATAGCGTAAATAGTATACTAGGTATAGATAAGATATTATAAGAGAAAAGATTCTTCTAAGGCTGTAGAGTAGAGAAATTAGTAGTATCTACAAGCGCCTACTATTTCTTTAGTAGAGATTGTGTACAAAGAAGAGAAAAGAGAGAGTTAAGAATAGAGAAATTAGTAATATCTATAAGCGCCTACTATTTTTTAGGTAGAGATTACGTAGTAGTAGCTAACTCTATACGCTGCTAGGTATATATAACCTAAGAATTATAATAAGAACTATACGTTTTCTTCTATTTTCTACTCTTAAACCTGTCTACTATATGCTAGAGAGGTTAAGTATAATAATTATAAAGAGGTAGTAAGAAATTAGATATTATAGGTATAAGTATTGTTATATAAAGAGGTAGTAATAAAAAGAGAAGTAAATAATTTTTATATAGGTTTTCTATATAGAATATTAGAATAACTAATACCTAAACTAATACTAAAGAACTAAGTAGAAGATGTTTTAGCAACTAATACCTAAACTAATACTAAATTACTAATCTCTAACTTACTAATCCGCTCTACTAGATCTTTTAGAAATATATGCGATAGCTATATAAAGCTAAGTAAGCGCGTTACAGAGCGTACTAGTAGGTAGGCAGGCGTAGGCAAGCTGCTAGCTAGCTAGCTAGCTAGCTACGGTGCGCAGGTTAGTTTCTAAACTTTTAATGTTCTGTAGCTAGAGAGGCTACGTAGTACTCTAATTAGCTGCAGCCCTGTAGTAGTGCAGATTCCTATTGTCTAATTAGCTAATTAATTATACCTAATCGCACCTAATTCTAATCGCACCCGATCGATTTTCGGCAGAACGTCGGAGTCCCTAATCGGGTAATTTTTTCGTCTAAATTGGGTAATTTTTTCGTCCAAATTGGGAACCGAAGTTTCGCCGGCGTTCTGCGAACCCGATTGTAATTGCTCCGCTCGTACCTCGCTACGCAATAAAGCTAAGCGAGCGCGGCGCAGGGCGTAGTTGTGGATCAGGCGTGGGCAAGCTGCTGGCTGGCTAGCTGGCTAGCTAGCTGATTGGCTGATTAATTGTACCCGATCGCACCCGATTCCGATCGCACCCGATTACTTTTCGGCAGAACGTCGGAGTCCCTAATTGGGTAATTCTGCTAATTCAAATCGGGTAATTTTTTCGTCCAAATCGGGAACCGAAGTTTCGCCGGCGTTCTGCGAACCCGATTGTAATTGCTCTGCTCGTACCTCGCTACGCAATAACCGTACGACAGCTATAACGTTAATTCTCTCTAGTTTCGCGAGCTTCACCAGCCAGCTACATCCTTTCTATCGTCAAATAGTAACATGCGACGCCGCGGTACTTCCTATCCATGTGACCTCGTCTCCAGGGGTCGCAGCACTTACATTCCCCGTTGCCCTTTCCTCCCCAGCAGCCAGTTTCTCGAGCACCGGTCCCAAGAAGCCACCCCAGTATCCAACCTTCGCTTCCAGTCCCCCTTCGAAACCCTCCAGCCCATACTCGACCACATTCCTCAATACCCTAAGGATCTTGAACACCCCTGAAACGCTGTTGGTTGAGCAGGAGCCGTGTTCAAGCACATGAACCGCGCCAGTGGGTTGCAGGTACACGAGGTAGAAGTACCATTCATGGCCTACTACCACGAAGGCGGGCTCGATGAGTGCCGACGTGATGTCTGACAGGCCAGCCATCCGAGCAAGCTCTGCCTTCTTGAGCAGGCTTGCGCCCATCCATATGCTGATCTGGTATTCTGCCTCCGACTTGTCGCCATCCGCGGGCTTAGCCTCAATGCCGCTGAAGAGGGCAGTCGTCTTAGTGAAAGCGTCCGACACATGACTGACGGCGGAGTTCCGAGGCGGTAAGCGGGCGTAGAGAGCGGCAAGGTCAGACGCTTCGTGCGAGTACGAGAGGGTGAAGTCGGCCTTTTGGTCAAGGCGCCGTCCAGTTTTGGAGTCAGTGGAGAGGTAGCCGGGTTCAATGGCCTGGGTTTGTCTAAGCATGTCAGTCACATGTTCGCCCGAGAGTAGACGGGAGGGGGTTATACACGCTTTGCAGCAGCAACTTGCCATTACCGGCGAGCTCCAGTGCCAGCTCCACCAGCGGCTGGATCACGACCTGACACCAGGCATTCTCATCGCGCCCCCTCGTCTTGCACGTCCTCGCGCGCTGGTATATCTGCTTGACCTTTTTTAGTGTGTATTGTAGCTCCTCGCGGAGAGGTAGATCGCACTCGGAGAGGTTGCGAGGGGAGTCGATAAAGGCATGTCGATCGAAGGTCTGAACGCCGAGTGCGTTGTCGGATATGATGGCTTCCTGCGGACTGGGTGTCAGTTCTGTTGCTAGACACGTTCAGCACTCACCTGGAGGCATCGCGGCACCCAGCCATCGACCCGCCCCGGCTCGAGCCGCTCCATGGCGGCCATCACCTTGTCCCTGATAGCCCTATTAACCGGGAGCTGCGCACCATCAAATGGCTCTGTCTGTATAGGAGGTAATGCGTCCTTCAGCGTCGCAATCGTCTCGCGCGACGGGCTGATGCCGCGTCGAGGCGATGACGCGCCCGTACCAGGCCGGCTGCCCCAGCGACTGCCGACGTGACTACCTAGCGGGCTGAAGGTATTGTGTTGGCCTAAGTCAAGCGGATGGCCTGAAAAGATAGATGCGCTTTCCCCAGGCATAATGCCTTCCTCGACTCGCTGGCGCTTCTCAGGGCTGGGTTGGCGGCGTCCGGCCATGGGCGCGGAGCTAACGCGCTTGCGCGTCGGCGGCCGGACGTGCTCGAGATGCGCGTCGGCGGGGGGTGATAGAGGACGCTGCCCAATCCAGGAGGCGGTGCGCAATGTCTTCGCGGCCAGGAGAGATGGGGAAAGAGGCGGCGACGTAGCCATGGTGGTGGGTGTGTCGTCGCGTGATGTCCGACTAGGAAGAACGAACTAGCTAAGGTAAAGGCTCTTGCGCAGACTCGACGAGCGTTGTATGCGGAACGACGACACGTGTTACACGGACAGCGTCCTCGCGTCTCTTCTAGGAGCTCTTGCCCGCCTTAACCACTTGGGCGGTTGTGTTTAACATAAGAGAGAATTGCAAGGCTTGGTCACATGATGGTGGGGGTCGCACTAGTTGGCGGGGCAACGCCGCCAAGCTTTTTAGCTCGCTTGTTGAATTAAAGCGTCCGCCTGGCACCCAACTAACCTCTTCTCTTCCACCAGCATCAACTCTTCAACCGTCAAACTCTTACCACCCCATCCTCTCTGTGCACTACCAACTATGGCCGATGCTGCTCTTGGCCCGCAGCCTGACTTCACCGTCATGGCGGTCGGTTGCGAGGAGACGGCCAACACTCTCACCAACACGGCCAATACTTTCGCCAACACTTTCAACAACATGGCGGCACAAATTCGCAACTGCCAGAATTTGCCGACTGTGCGAAGCGACAACGACATCGCGACTGCGTTGCGGGGCATTGGCGAACAACTCAATGACATCAAGGGCGACATCAGGCAGCTTGACGCCAGAGTCGGGCGCCTTGAGCAGGGCATGAAGAGCGGGTTTCGTCGTGTCGACGTGCAGTACGTGAAGAATACCTTTTCAAACCCTCGCAGACATGGTGCCGGCTGACATAAAACCCACACAGGCTGCTGAATCAACAAGCGCGCCTCGAGAACAGCCAAAATATCGCCGGCAACGTCGATGAGAACCTTACGCCGCTCTATTCGTTGACGGCCGCCGATGCCCAGCCCCAAGTTATCCCGGACTTCCCCTCCCGCATTGACGACATCAGCCAGATGGACGGTGGACGAGTCAACGAGTTGCTCCGCCATTTGGAGCAGGGTACGACCGGGAACCTGGGCCAGCGCAGGACGAGGCTTAAGAGGGCGGTGGGGGGGTACATACGCGCCACTGGCCCGTTTGCGAAGGTCTAAGCTCTGCGGCATACTTACTGGCGTTTGGGGCAAGGCATTGTTTGTTAGCACTAGCATTAGGCTGGAGTTACGGATTTGCATGCGGTGGCTACGGAAGCCGACTGGCGAAAGAGAGGCCTCATTAGGTAATTCACTCGAATAGCATTGGGTACGGACCACATGGTCTATGCAAAACCTTTGGCGCCTGCACAGATATTATCGTGAGACGAGTAGTCTGGATTTAGATCCTCGAAGACGTCGACTACGTCCCGCTCAAGTAGAAGGATAACATGCTTGACAAGCCTATCTTCCCCATGTCTTACGGCGTGTTCATCCGCATCCTACGCCGCCTACTGCTTATTGCTGGATTCCCCCTTCTTCCGCGTTGCTACGCCTTCCGGGTCGGTGCCGGCGCGGAATTCGACGGCTGCCTCTCCAGCGCGCTGCGCAACTTTATCATAAGCTATTCGACTGGCGTGTACGAGAACAACTACATGTCGAAGCAGGTACGGGAAGACATCGCCAGGTGTCGCTTTGGAGCGTTTGCGGGAACCAACGACCTACTCTTCGACCTGCTCTGGGACCTTACCATGCAGAACGACCCCGGCGCGCCCATTAATCCTAACTCTAAGTAGAAGCTCGCCCTCGAGGACCCACAGGACGTTACGGGACTAAGGAACAAGCTCGCGGGCCTTACAGATATGCGAATCAAGGACGGACATATTAAGAGCTAAGGCGCGTCTCAAGGATCTTAGGCAGCGATTGTACGATCTAGTCGTAGCTAAGAGCTAGAAGACGTACTTCGCTGAGGCTGCAAAGTTGAGGTCGCGAGGCCTGTCGACCAGCTATTTACGAAGCTCTGCGCTAACGCCATGCTCCTACCACGCTGCCCTAGACATAGACGGCTTAATAGCGTTGTTCACGGGTTACACCATCTCTGATATTGGCAAGCCTGCAAAAGAATTCGTCTTCGATGATGGTGCCGAGGAACGGTTGGAAAAGGCCATGTCTTTTCTCTGTCTGGAGTGCCCGTCTTTCCAGGCCGAGAGTGCGCCGAGCTACTCGGGACACGAGATGCTCTGCCACCTGAGCGAGACGCATGGCCACCTGGATATTACGCGCTGTCTACTCTGCGTCTGGAACGGCAGTCTTCGCGGCCTCGAGACGCACGTTCGAGGTCACTTCAAGAAGGGCCCCGTCGCGTGTCTAGTTTGCGACGACAAGGATGTGGTGCCGCTCGACAGCTACGTCCTGTGGTATGCTCACCTGGATGCGCTGCACGAGCGCGACGGGCTTGCAGGATTAAAGCCGCCGCCAAAGGAAACCCAAAATAGGATCGCCGGCACCAAGCGCAAGAGATCCCGATGCCGCGAGATGGAGCTCAAGCTGGACTTCGAGGAGCGGACCGCCACAGAGCTGGACTAGACGAGGGCGAGAGTGCCTGCTGCTCACGAAGCCCAAGTCTGTGCGAACAACCAGCTCGACGACGCCGAGTACGACCCTATGGACGACGGCGACGACGAGAGCCTGAGCTGGTCCAGCTGCGAGAGCCTCTCCGTATCCGGCTCGAACACGCCCCCTGGCTTGGATACTCCACACACGGAACAGTGTTCCCCGGAGGTGCGGAAGCTCTCCATGATCACGACGAAGAGAAACTACACACCAGGTTTAACCTCGTTGTAAGGAAGGCCTTAATGAAGAAGAGCTGTACGATCAAGACGCTTGGACCTTGCGTAGAGATGCCCCGCCAGTCAAGCGGCCGGCTCAGGAAGGATGGGAAGCCATACCGCTTCGATCTGTACGTTAGGGTCGAGTATCACACAGATCCACAGAAGAATCCCGATGCGAAGAGGCGTCCGATCGTCGAATGGTTGACGAGGACTGAATTAGTGCAGCTAGTGGGCAAGAAGTACGAGGAGAAGCAAGAGATAATCTTGATGGCGAAGTATAAGAAGAGGCAGAGCTACTTTAACGAGTGCAAGAAGCGGCGTCTGCACCTAGAGACCAAGAACCCTCTTTCCGCTAGAGACTATGACGAGTACCCATGGCTATTTCTAGATGATGGCGCTCCCAGGCCGTCGAATAGGAAGCAAACGGAGGACGACGACGGAGATGAAGAGATGACGGGTGTGCGTGTTGATGGAGAGGATGACGAAGACTTTTCGGTTGCCTGAGTAGGGTCGAGGTAGGTTATACCAACTTGGGGGACGGTGGAGATAGGTCTAGATCATAATTAATTAGTACCATAATGCGCATTCGCGTGTGAGACCCACCACTCTATCTTCTTACTACTATTAACGGGGCAACTCGCTAAACTCACTATGGATTCGTGATCTCGTTGCCAACGAAAACCCCTTGCGACGGTCGCTGTCTTGTACCACACAAGGACGCGAACCTAGAGTGTCTTCGATGCATTTGTCGACTGGCGAAGGGCGGATATTTCCGGCGTGTTTCGCAGATGCTTTCGATCAGGGGGGAGGCTGACTGGGGTTGCTGGATGCGTTGTTATCGGATCCCTATAGGCTTTGTGAGTTGCGAGCGCTGAGCATGAGATGCCAGATGCTGCTGGAGTCGCAGCCAGACGAGGCCTCGGACATATGGGGTGCGGAGGGATATCCGGCGACTTGATGGTCTGTTGTTCGAGAGTGTTGTTACGACCCTCAGTCGCAGGTCCAGACGAGGCTGTGTTGGTGGCGCTCAGGCCGACGTTGTCCCGGACTCTAGGTTTAGGCTGGAAATGTTTGCCCCGCCCTATTCCGTTTTCGTGCTAATGCAAGCAGGATCGGTTTCCTAGCGGCCGGAGCTTTGACCTTATTGCCAAGCCCCCCATTCCTCCAACCACGAGTCTTCACCAGCGCGCCTCCTGTTTCGTGCTCGGATAATGCGAGACAAATCTCTGCTAATTAGTCTCCAGCATCGAACTCCCCACGCTCGCTTTCATCCCTCCGCCTTTCGACTCCTCTCGCCTCTTAAACCCACACTATGGGCGATAACAGAATCCTGCAATTTCCTGCTAGCTTTTCTAGAGACAACATCCTAGCACATGGCATTTTAGGTCTAATACTTCTTAATAAGGCCTCGCAAACTGTTGTTAAGTCCCTGCTTAGTTAGAGCAAAGCTAATATTAACGTAAAACGGCGTATTTACAAGCGCTTTAAGAAATATAGCAGACACAAGAATATTATATAATACCTTAGGCCCTATAATATTAGTATTCGCCTTAAGTATATTTGTATCTATAATTTTAGAGGTTATATTTACGCAAACAAAGTTAACTATAAGTAGAAGATCTAATAGGCGTAACAAATTATTAGCGCGCTTTGTTTTATGCATGTAAGAGGGGTAGTCTATAGTAACCTAAACATATTTAATATTCTGCTAGATATAAACCTTAATACAAAACTTATAGACTTTGCTAGCTTCTCTCTAGATAGATCTCTACTACTTATTGTAGTTACAGAGAGTTATAGAAGACCTAGAGATACTTATTATATTAAGGCTAATATTTTTATATTTAGTTCTACGCTATATATAATTATAATAGGTTAGAGCCTATATTATAATCTTTCTAATTATAAAATTAATAAGCGCTTTAGGCATAGAAGTTTTCCGTAAACAGATTCTTTTAGACTACTTAGAAAGATTATTTCTAAGTGCTAGCGCGACAAGTACCTAGACGTAATAAGTGTCTATAAGAAAATTAAAGGTATATAATAATTCTTAATCTAAAACTAGCGCTTCTTATATTAATTAGCTATTTCTACGCGTTGCTCTGCTAGATCCTACTTAATAACTCTAGCCTAGCTCTTATACTTAGCAGAAGGTTAATTTAGTGTATAGTAGGCTAGAAGTAAACATACTAATTTTAATATAGTAACATTAAGAAAGGCACTTAGAGCAAGCTCTAGGTCTAGTTATTAAGCTAAATATAATACCTGTCCTGCTTTTGTTCTTTACTTAAATAGCCTTGTTATTACATTTTAACCTAGTCTTCTTAAACTAGTGTGTTAGCGCTAATCGCGGATAAGAGCTAGGGGTAACCTAAATTTAGAAGCGGTAGGTCTATTAGCAACTCTATATTTACATAAGCTAGGCTTTAAATCGTATTAGAACCTAGTAAAGGTAGCGAATCGGCATGCGCTTAAGGTATGCTACTATTAGGAGTGCGCGCGCCTATGCTAGACGCGTGCTTATTTATTGCTAGTAGCTTGCTTACTAATATTCTCCGTCTCTTTTAACCTCGTTTGCAACTCTTAGCCTATCTAGTAGTTCTATCTATTTCTGGCTAGTCTATTCTTACGGTACTTTTGCCTTAAGTTAAATCTCCCGCTCTAAGGTTAACGTAGACGTCTTTATCTTGTAATTCTAAGGCGTTCTCTGTTGTAGCTAGAGTTAATCCCGCGGCTACTGTGTTAGACGTTATCTGTCGCGCAACTATTGCTAGCTTTAATGTTCTTTATCTTCGAGGCAGCGCTTCTGTTCTAACTAAAGTGTGTATCTTTAAATAATATAGCTGCTAGAAATAGGTTAGTAGAAATTTAGACAGAATTTAGCAAACTTATGCATAGAGAGCGCTGGTAAGAACTAATAGGTTATACTCTCCCTTCTAATAACTAGAGGGTACTAGCTATTATAGCATTTCTAGGCTTTAGCTATCTAAGAAGATTTCGTTTTGCTAATCTTTCTTACTCTAGATAAGTTGTCTAATTCGAAAGCGTTTACAATATCCTTAAAGTCTGTATGCAGGGCATTATAATATACAAAGCTAAGAAGAATACTACAGCCTAGATATACCTTGTCTACGGCATAGTATCTAAGCCTAGCTAAAACACCGCTACGCGCTGTAGGTAGGTTACTCTCTAAGAAAATTTCCTTTATAAAACTGTTAACTAAACTATACTAGCTCTTTAGGGTACAAAAGATACGTTATTAGAATATTGTCTTAAGTCGTTTCCCCTAATCTTTCGCAATATATGTTGCAGCAAGGCTCTATTCTGCAAGAGCTCGTCGAAACTTAGCTTGTAGTGTATTCTTGCTAGATTGTTTAGCAACTAAAATATCTAAAATCTAGCAAGTATGCTTAACTGCTAGAAGCTATCTAACGGCTTGCTTAGGTGTCTTTTTAAAAAATTTAACTAGCTCTGTAGTCTTCTTCCCTAATACCGTAGCTAATTTGTTAGCTAGTTCTAAACGCAGCTTGTAAGCATCTTAAAGCTTTTAGATTACTTTATTAATTTTCGTTCGTTTAATTCGTTTAATATTCTTCGCGGGGGCGAGACATAAAGCCTCTATAGTAATAGAGAGGTTTTCTATGTTAAAAGAGCTCTACGCCGCTAAAGAAGATAGAGTATTAGCCGGGAGTAAAGCTATCTTAAAAGCAAGGTGCTAGCTAACCTCGCAGCGTCGCTTACTTTACATTACTACTATTTAGAAGATAGGAAAACAGAAGAAGTCTAAAGAAGAGACAGTAATCGCATTGCTAACTAGGAATCTCGGCACTCTCCTAGACGATATTCTAACCTCTTAAACGGCGACTTTTGCTCGTTCGACGCCGTTCAGCAAACGCTAGTTAAGCTAATTAACCTAAGGGCTAACTCTCTCTGTTAACAACCTCTATAATCGCAGAGACGACTCTAACAAGCTCTTCTTAGTCGCCTGTCGCGTTCTTATTTAAAATTCTACAGTAACCCCTTAGACAGTTTCTCTACAGTCTTCTATTCTAGATTAAGAAGATTAAAAAGTTCTTCTCCGCTAGGGTAGAGAAGATTCTTCGTCCATTGCACTGTTAGCCTAATAAGAGGGTCTTAATCCTAAGGAAGTTAGGCAAAGGCTAAGTAACCTTATCCTTATTAGATAGGTTCGAACAATTCCTCGCTAAACGTAGTCTCGCAATTTCGTGCGGGACTACTAAAACTTAGTTGTATTAGACAAAGAACCTACGTAATTGTAGAAGAAAGCGTAGGCATATTATCTTTTATAGCGCTTAAACAACAAATTTAAGAGCAGATGTAGGCTTATTTCTCTATAACTATATTTACGTTTTTAAAGAACAAGTCTTTCCTGTCTTTTTATTAATTAACTAAGCGTTAAAGCACGCTACTACCTATTAGTTGTCGAAGTTAAGTCGGTAAACCGGGGAGCCGTACCTTAGGATTAGTATAGGTGTGTGATTTTCTCTATCTTGTAGCTAAACTAACTAACAGTACTTAACGTACTTTACAAGCGAGCTAGCCACACAAGCGAGTTGGCCACTTTCTCTTAGCAAGGAAAATTAACGAAAATTAACTTGATTTTCTTAAATAACTAAGCGAAACCTTAATATTTTTCTATAAAAGTTTCTATATATATTCTTTATAGTATATTACGTCTTATACTAAATTTATACTAAGATATATTACGTAATTAAAAAGCTATACGTATTTAACTAACTTTTAAGAAAAAATCTAGTTTTCTTCTAGTAAGTACTATTATATCTCTATAATAAT